ATATTTTCTTTCATTTCAACAAAGTAAGTACTTTCTTCTCGTGATGTAAAAAAAATTCAACAAAGTGAGTTCCTTTTTTATGTTGTAGAAAAAGTATGTTTTTTATTTCAACAAATGAGTACTTTCTTTTCATGTTGTAACAAAAGTATTTTTTATTTCAATAGAATGAGTACTTTCTTTTCATATTGTAGAAAAAGTACTTTTATTTTATTTCAACAAGAAAAATAGATTTTTTTTTCAAGTTATGAAGCTCAAATTTTAATGTTGATCTTGTGTGAAAAAGTAAATCAATTAAATTCTTGAAGAAACTAGGTCCCGAAAACGTTGGATATTTGAGGGGGGAGGAGGAAGGAGGGGTACAAGAAACATGAGAATTTGGGTGGAAGGGGTTAAAGGGAGTAGTATAAAAAATTATTTTGCAAAAGATATTTTCGATTGCTAGCATAAACAAATTGAGGAGGTATTTGTATAGGTCCAAATTTGGCAACCACGAAAACGGATAAGCAAGACATGGGACAGAGTCACTACAACACAACGACTGACGGTTGTTGTGGCAAAGGACGACGACTAGAGGCATGCAGTCGAGATGAGATAGTATCGGTAGTTTAAACTTAGAAAGAGACAGAAAGAATATGCCTTTTGGATATTCTTTATGTTGTACTTTTTAGGGATTTTTGGGAAATGTCCCTTATAAATAAGAGGAGATAGTAAACAAGCAGGGGATCTGCCATTTTTTCAAGAAAAACACATTGTAGAAAGACAAAGGGGGTATACGAAAGAATTGTCTTATTCGCTTTACTCAAGCACATGTTGTTTAACTCTCATTCATAAATCTCAAGATTCCACATTTATATCGGCTGCATATACCTTCACGTCCCAATCACACAATCGTTGAGTGACAGTTCCTTTTTATTATACCCATCTTCATTTCTTGCATGCATTGCACTTTTAGGATATTATATGTTTCTATTAATCATAACGCGTTAAGTGCACCGATTAGCGGTCCTAAATTGTTCTCATTATTTTAGAATTCTACTCTATTTGTTCTAGAATTTATTAAGTTCAACTGAGATTCACTCCATTAACTTATTACTAATTAGTTTAACATTTATTTGCTGAAACCGTATTTCCTAAATAAACTATAGATAATGAAATGTACATTGACTTTTCAACCTAATACATCCCAATAAAAAATTCCCAAAGTTATCTCTCATAGCTGCTGTGAGCACGTGATTTTTGCCCTAAGCTAATTATTCCCAAAAATTCAAACAAAACAATTTCTTTATTTTTACAATTTTTGTGAATTTTGGTGTCACTTTCTGATAGTTGTTTGCATTTTATTTGTGCACGTTAATTCATATGAAAATACAAAAATATGTATTTAGGATATAAGTTCATATTTTAGGATTAAGTAGGGGTTAATTTGTTTTGGAACAAAATATAAAGAAAATAACAAAAATAATCCACTTTTGCATTTTAATTGTCAATTGTTGAATTTGTCATGAAGTAGATTTTATACAATTTTAGGAGTTAATTAGTTTAACTTTGAAATATATTAGGACTCTATTTTACTTTTACATTTTTACAAAAATCAAAAAAATACAAAGATACAAAATGAAATACAAAAAATAAATAAATAAAGGAGATAAAAGAAAGACAATTAAAAAAGAGAGGAAAAGAAGCTATCCGGAATTGGGCCAAATACGCAGCCCAAACGGACCAAATCCATACCCAAACCGACCCAGCCCAGTGCCTTGAACCCGGCCTGCCTTTTTAAATGACCAAACAACACCATTTTAGCGTTAATCAATCCCGACGTTTCATCCTACTTAATCCAACGGACCATGTTCACTCTTGACAAATTAATAAAACTGTCCGAATCTAATTCTAACCCTAAACATAATTCATCTTCCTCATACCTCCTGTCACCTCGTCGGAACCCCACCGCCGACGAACACCACTTACGTCATCGACCACCAAAATAACACCACGAAACCTCCTCTTCCCCCCTCGTTATGGATCCACCACCCGTTTCCTTCAAATCCAGCCCTAGCTCGTCGAATCTTCGATCAAAGGTTTCCGGCCAAAATCCAAAGTAACCCAATCACCACCAAATTAACACCATGTGACCGCCTGGGCCTCCTCTACCCAACCCCCATAGCCCTATCTCTCGAATCTACCTGGATAAGCTCGAATATCAAATCGAAGGTTTCCGACCAAAACCCTAAGGCAAAATTTCCATAATTTCGGACCCTAACAACCCTAATCAGGTGTTTTCTTATGAAAACACATGGTTAGGGATGTTACGAGTCAGAAATTTTGGGGGATTTGGAGAAGCAACCACTGGCCGGAGTTCTTTGTTGTCAGTAAGCTCTTAGTGGTATTTCCTTTTATCTTCAATTTCTTTTTCCTTTTCTAATTTTCTGCATGTGTGAATTCCTTAGTTAATGTCTAGTTAATTTACGTTTTAATTTTTGTCAATATTGCTCTAATCTTGTGTCCTGATTTGATTAAGTCTAGTTGTTTGTTTGAATATGTTCCAGTTTCTGATCTTAGTTCGATTTATAATTTGTTAATTAGTATTACTAAGTTTTGCTTAAATTAATTTATGTTGTTCCTTTAGTTAATTACTAATTAGTTCAGTTTCAGTTTAATTAGTCGTCGTTTGGTAGTTAATATGGTCATTAATTCTGAGTTCAACAAGAGTTTAAATTGGGGTATATTCAGAGCTTAAGAAGCTGTCTTGGTTATAGCTGTAGTTTTAGCTTAAGTTCAGGGGTAGTTTAGACGTTTAGGATTGGGCAGCACATGGTAGTTGAAACTAGAATCTTCTAGGGCCTTATAGAGTGGTACTTTAGTGTAGATTTCAATAAGTTTAGGGGGATTACTTGGGTAACAAGTTAGAAAATAAGGGACTAATTGAATAAATAGATAAGGAACTGATTTGTAAACAGAGAATGAGGGCTGCCCTCAGCTCTGCCTATAAAAAGCATGCCTAAATGCCTGAAGAGAGAGGTTTTTTTTTTGAAGCCCCAATATTCCAAAAACTCCCCAGTCCAGATCTGAAACTAAAACTTCAGATTCAATTTTTCTCCTAAGTTTTTAGTGTCAAAGGAAAAAATGCGGTAAAAAAAAATCATCAGCAAGAGTACTGTCACATTGAGCTTTTGGCTCAATCTCGAAATTTCAATAGTTGCTCTTGGTCTCATAGCTTGATTCTAATGTGCTGAAGTTCTTCTGAGGTCTATTAGTTTAATTTGGGTTAATTCAAGCTCAATTTCGATTTATTTGGGTGCATTCAGTTGATTTGTGGTCGATATCTCATTTTAATCTGGTTTCGAGTTCACTCTAGGCTGTGACTTCATTTTTCTGGGCTGTGCATTTGTGTTTGGTTGATCATCCATTGGTTTGCTGCGTTTGAGTTGCTACTGACTGACTATTCCTCTGTTCTATTTCATAAAACAAGTACTCACCATGAAACTTAGTACTATGTAGATCACTTGCTGGAAAATGAAATGAAAATTGGAGCTTCAGCTATAGATACGTAGTTTGTGAATCTCATTATATTTTAACAGTTTTATGTGATTTGGTTGTTGTACGATACAATCAATTTGAATGTACAACTGAACTGGCAGAACTGTGTTATTGAGATCACTGGACTGTTGATTTGTAGTTACTTAGATTTAGCTTGTTTAGCTTAGCGATTTTCTGTTTAAAATGCAAAATCATAAACAGTTCAAGTTTGCGGTGAATCTGGAACTGGGATGTTATCACGTTGGGTTCTATTTTAAATGCTAAACATGTGTCCTAAATAATTTCGTAATGCAGTAGCTTTGACAATTATGAGTCAGTAGTCATGGTTAATAGTTCACTTTAGTCTTAGTTGTTTTATCGTCAGTTGGTTCATAAATTGGTTTAAAAAGCAACACAAATTAGGAGATATAACATTTGTCTTGTAATTGCCAGCGTGAGTAATTTATTAGTACGTTTGTTCATTTTTAAAATCAGGACGACATAATTACTCCCTTGAACGATTTGAGAATCGGTATCTAATTGATCTAGGTAAGTGCATATTCATTTCTTTTGTCAGAAGAGTGGAGCCCATTCACGAGAGTTTGGGCTTGATTGATTTGGGCTAACTCTAGGCCCAATGTCCATGGCTGTGAGAAATTTCGGCCGGTATAAAACTTTCAGATGCTGTTTTATTAATACTAATAATTGGTTAGGACCTTTTCTTGATTAGTAAAGACCAATAAAAAATAGAAATTCTAATAGCTCTAGGGTCTGTTTTTTTAAAATAAAATGAGACGAGCCTCGCTGAACAAAACACATAAACTGCGGGGCCCTCAATAATTAGTTATAATGAAATACTTAGAATTCGGGATGAGCCGTTTAGCGAATTTCACGGCCTTCCCTAAAGATGATAGCGCGTTAGACACTTTGGATGCGCTTTTAATTAAATTACTTTCCTAAATTCGGGTGCGCATTGATGCGACCCAAATCCAAATCTCAACGGAGTCGACTGTGTTAACAACCACGGGTGCATTGATTGCGACGTGGTTCAAGACGCATTTCGTGATGTTGCAATTCTTTTAAAATAATAATAAAAGTGGTTTGTGAATAAAAAGGCACACATGTATTAAATCAGATAAAATCAAATACAACAATTAAGTGACCGTGCTAGAACCACGGAACCCGGGAATGCTTAATACCTTCTCCCGGGTTAACAGAATTCCTTATCCGGATTTCTGGTTCGCAGACTGTAATACAGAGTCATATTTTTCCTCAGTTCGGGATCAAAACCGGTGACTTGGGACACCCTTAATCTCTCAGGTGGCGACTCTGAATAATTAATAATTAAATTCCGTTCCGATTGTCCTTTAAGTAGAAAAACGCCTCCGTGCCCTTTACAGAGTATAGGCGAAAAAGGAGGTGTGACAGCTGCAATAGTCCAGACACATTTCTAAAACAACACCTGTAAGTTTTCCAACATTCAGAAAATGACAATCATCTCATATTCTGCTGCTGCTGCTACAGCAAAAGCCATTTCATGTTCTTCTGTGTCTGTTTCAACAGCCAAGATTGCAACTTTGTGTTCTTCTGGTTCATTATTCTTCAACAGCAAGAGGGCACTGTTTTTGGGTCCTGCTATAACCACAAGAAAAGTAACTAGTAGTAGCAGTGGCAAAAAGGGTCTTTCTTGCAACTGTTTATTTTGGCTTGGAGTGCTTGAGCTGGTGGTGATTGCTGCTCTTGTTTTTGGGCCCAATCAGTTGCCTGAAGTTAGCCGTACGATTGGCAACACTGACAAGAGTTTTCAACAGGTTACATTTTCTGGTAAAATTTGGGAGGGATGGTTATTTTTTAGACTGCCTTTTTAATACTTAGCCACTTTTTGAAATTTAATTAAGAAATGATCAACTTTTAATGCGGAAATAAAATTAAGAAATTAACTTATTGTTAATACTTCATTGTGAGCTTTGTAAATATTGAGCTAGTAAATATGATCAAGTTAAAAACGTAGTGTTAATACCTCATCGTGAGCTTTTGTAACTCTCTCAAATAGCCGACCAAATTCATTATTTACTTTTCTTAGTCGGTATACATAGATTATATATATATATATATATATATATATATATATATATATATTACTAAATTTAGTGTACGGGCAACGCGTGTATCTAGTATAAAAAATATAAACTTTTTAAAAAATAGCATAAATAATACTCAAATGAATCTCTGCTATAAAATAAATATTAACAAAATAAACACAAGTTCCTAAAAATAATAAATATTAATCATATGTTTCGGGTTTTTATCTAGTGTAGCGGTTCTTTCTTCCGGTTTGTTTTTATTAATTGCTTCATTGTGCAAAAACGTTATGGAGTAATGTTTGATTTAAAGATAAAGAGGTTGTTCGATTTTACATATGACATGAGACCTTGCTAGGTATACTGCTTTTATGTCATATTAATTTTTTAAAAATTTGAGTCTGATAGATTATTGACAATTGAAAATATTTTATTCATATTTTACTTAGCGCTAACTTTTATCCTTATTTTAATTATGCTTTAGTAATAATATTAGGCATCGCAACTCGACAAATACTAATTGTTCTTATAAATGATATCTCGATCGTATCTTACTCTACATATAATGCCTTTCTAAAGTACTTTATATTATACCTGATGAATTACATAATATAATCAATTTTATTCCTATTAAGTGAGACAAAAGTATACAACTTTTATTAAAAATAACTTTCTTATCTTATATGTGTAAGGTGGATACTAAGATTGTACTTATTATATTGACTAATTAGATGAATGTTGAGACGAATTAGTTGATCCTGCTTATAAGCTTAGTGAAAAATATTCTTATTCACTGCTTGATTTGTATTGTAATTGATTAGATTAAAAGTAACGGCATATTAGACTAAATTTAAAACATATAAAATTAATAATAAATAATTAAAATAAGAAAAAAATTCGGATACATCATTAAGATGAGAATAGATAAGCCATAAAATATAGAGTAATACATTAATAAGTCACAACAAAATAATATTCTTGGAATCAACAAAAATGTAAGAAACAACTTACGGAGTGTTATAAAATAAAAGCAATGCAGTAAAATGTAAACAAGAAGAGATAGAGAAAATGGAGAAGTGTTTTCTTCTTTCACTTTGGTGTATTTTTCTATTGCAATTACATGATCTTTTATAGGCATAAAAAGTAAAGATGATGGACATAAAGTAGGAAATTTAATCTTTAAGTTATTCACAACATGGGCATCCAATGTAGCATCCAATGTAGTATCCAAAGTAGTATCCAATGTACAAACTATTCATAACACTCCCCCTTGGATGTCCATGTAAGATAATGTGCCTCATTAAAAACTTACAAAAAAAATATTGGGATGTACATAATTATTTATAATATGCATTGCTTGCTGCCTCATTAAAAACCTTACCAGGAAAACCCAGTGGGACAAAACCTTGGTTAAGGAAAAGAGTGCAGCGTGTAGTTACTCCCCCTGATGAAAAATCACTTAATATCTCGAAGACGACGCATTCCAATCTTATATATCAGCTTTTCAAATATTGAGGTTGGTAATGCCTTAGTGAACAGATCAGCCAAATTATCACTCGAACGAACTTGTTGTACATCTATTTCACCATTCTTCTAAAGATCATGAGTGAAAAAGAATTTCGGTGAAATGTGTTTTGTTCTATCTCCTTTGATATATCCTCCTTTCAATTGAGCTATGCATGCAGCATTGTCTTCATACAATATTGTTGGAATATTCTCTTTCGAAGAAAGACCACATGTTTGCTGAATGTGTTGAGTTATAGATCTTAACCAAACGCATTCTCGACTTGCTTCGTGAATGGCTATTATCTCTGCATGATTTGAAGAAGTAGCAACCATAGTTTGTTTTGTCGAACGCCATGATATGGTTGTACCTCCACTTGTAAATAAATAGCCTGTCTGAGATCGACCTTTGTGTGGATCAGACAAATATCCTGCATCTGCATAACCAATCAATGATGGCTTGGATTCATTTGAATAAAATAAACCCATATCAATGGTCCCTTGGAGGTATCTGAATATATGTTTAATACCATTCCAGTGTCTTTGTGTTGGCGAAGTACTAAATCTTGCCAATAAGCTTACTGAGAAAGCTATATCTGGTCGGGAATTATTGGCAAGATACATTAATGCCCCAATTGCACTAAGATATGGTACTTCGGCACCAAGAAGCTCTTCATCATTTTCATGAGGTCGGAATGGATCTTTCTTTATATCAAGTGATCTCACAACCATCGGGGTACTCAATGGATGTGCTTTATCCATATAGAATCGCTTTAAAATCTTTTCGGTGTATGTTGATTGATGGACAAATATTCCATCTTTCATATACTCAATTTATAGACCAAGATAAAATTTTGTCTTTCCAAGATCTTTCATTTCAAATTCTTTCTACAAACAGTCTACTGTTTTTGGAAGCTCCCCAGGAGTTTCAATGATATTTAAATCATCAACATACACGACGATTATAACAAATTCAGATCCAGACCTTTTTATAAAGACACAGGGACAAATTGGATCATTCTTGTACCATTCTTTCAACAGGTATTCACTCAGGCGATTGTACCACATACGTCCTGATTGTTTCAATCCGTATAAAGATTTCTGAAGCTTTATTGAACAAGTTTCTCGAAAAATTTTATATGCTTCTGGCACTTTAAATCCCACTTGTACTTTCATAAAAATTTTGTTGTCTAATGATCCATACAAATAGGCTGTAACAACATCCATTAGATGCATATCAAGTTTTTCTTGTACTGCCATATTTATGAGATACCTGAAGGTGATAGCATCCACTACAGGAGAATATGTCTCCATATAATCAATTCCAGGCCTTTGGGAAAAAACTTGTGCCACAAGTCGTGCTTTATATCTAACGACTTCATTTTTATCATTTCGTTTTTGCACAAAAATTCATTTATACCCTACTGGCTTTATGCCTTCAGGTGTTCAAACCATGGGTCCGAAGACTTCACGTTTTCCAAGTGAAGTTAATTCTGCCTGGATGGAGTCTTTCCGTTTTGGCCAATCATTTCTCTATCTACATTCATTGATAGATTTTGGTTCAAGATCCTCATCTTATTGCATTATTTCAACAACAACATTATAAGCAAAAATGTTATCGATAACAATATTATTTCGGTTGCATCCTTTCTCGGTTGAGACGTAACTTATTGATATCTCTTTATTTTCATTATTTTCAAGTACCTAGACCTCTCCTAAGGTCTTATCATTTGTTACCTCTTGGGGATCTTCTTGAGCCACTACCTCTATGTTATGTTCACTTTGATCACTTGCTCCTTTTCTTCTTCGAGGATTTTTATCTTTAGAACCGATTGGTCTACCACGTTATCAGCACGAAACTCTAATTTTATTCTTAACTCCCGCTAAGTTGAGCCATATTTTATTAAGGTATGTATCATTATAATCATCTTATTTATAGCAGTACATATCATATGCTCACTATTGGCAAATTACTTGTGCGCTTGGGCATCTTAAATAGTTTAAGTACATTGTAGTGATTAAATAACTATTTCCTTCCGTGCTCAACTCTTAGAGGACCTCAAAGTCATCAAACTAGCTATGCACTAATGTCATGGACTCCCTGGATCAAAACATATCTTTAAGGCATTTTGAAGAACTGTGAGAAATGAATTGACAAGCAATAATTTTTTAATTACTTTATATTTATTGGAACATATAAATAATGTTAGTCACGTTCAATTCTATTAACACATATATATCAATAATATAAAGTGAAATGAAACAAGTATGTAATTTCTACTTTATGGCAAGAATAAAATGAAATAGTAGATTGTTAACATGATATAGCTCTATTTTCATTTCTTTTACCTTAATCGTTTTGTTTTCATTAATTGTTTATTATTATAATTATTTCTCTAACTTATTCATCTTTTATGATAGTTTTCACTATGTCAAATTTATCAAAACTTGAATTTGTGGCACTTGACATCACCGGGAGGAACTATTTATCATGGGTTCTTGATGCTGAAATTCACCTTGACGCTAAAGGTCTTGGAAATACTATTATACAAGGAAATGAAGCATCAAATCAGGATAAAGCGAAGGCCATGATTTTCCTTCGTCATCATCTACATGAAGGGTTAAAAACTGAATATTTAACCGTAAAAGATCCACTTGAATTATGGATTAATTTGAAGGATCGATATGACCACCTAAAACTTACGGTATTAGCAAAAGCTCGGTATGAGTGGATACATTTAAGGTTGCAAGACTTTAAAACCGTAAGTGAGTATAATTCTGCTATCTTTAAAGTAAGTTCTCTATTAAAATTATGTGGAGATACTATCACAGATGAGGACTTATTGGAAAGAACATTTTCTACTTTTCACGCTTCAAATATAGTGCTACAACAACAATATCGTGAAAAAGGTTTTAAAAAATATTCTGAGTTAATCACATGCCTACTTGTGGCTGAGCAGAATAATACTCTATTAATGAAAAATCATGAAGCTCGTCCTACTGGGTCATCTCCATTTCCGGAAGTGAATGTTGTAGCAACGTATGATAAGTTTGAGAGAAAACAAAATAATTACCGTGGTCGTGGACATGGTCGTAAACGTGGACGTGGCAGGGGGCGAAATAATTATCGTCATTATGGTGGAAATAAATTGGATAACAATAAGGGTTCTCAAATTAATAATTCAAAAGGTAAAGCTAGTATGTGTCACCGATGTGGTATGAGAGGTCATTGGGAACACA